TTTTTTTTTTCTTTAATATCTTTAATTCAGAAGAACTTGTTAAATTTTTAAAAACCAGCTTTAGTTATAATTATCGCTCTTATCTCCAGAATGACTCCCTGGCCCAAGCTGCCGGGCGCGCATTGATCTTTCTGCCACGCTTGTTTTTTCTAGGCATGTTCGCCTGCTCAGTGGGACTGGGAGGATTTGAGCAGCGATATAATGAGAGCTCTTCTTGCATATGTTATAAGCAGGATCATTAGCTCAACAAACTGATGTTTTTGGTGAAATGTTGTAGAGGGGAAGCACATTTGGAAGGGTTTAGATGCGCTGTTGGTTTTGTGTTTCTGGCTGTGTTTTGTCAGATGAGGTCTGATTAATAAGTGCAACTACATAATTCATCAGTGTTTTCCTAACTGCACTTATTTTTAATGAGCTTATTTAGAAACATTCTTAGATGGAACTGTACACAATAAAATTTGACAAGGATGCTATTATATTTTCATAAACAATGCAATGCTTTGTAGTTCGGTGCAGTCCTTGTGTGTAGGCATGAAGAATAAACAGTTTTAAACATTGATCAGAAATGCTGATAGAGTTTTAATTCTATTTCTATATACACTTTCACAAAGGTAGAAAGAAAAGCTTACCAGAGCCTAAACATCTGTTGGGGTCAAAGAATATGTCTGGAATCTTTTCAAAGTGCATTGTGAGTCATGAAAATAAAGAACTGAAGAAACATTCAGTTGGGGGAAGTGAACACTGGAATTTAATTTAAAGTTTATTTAAGAAAAATAATCCAATATAGAAACAATGCACATTTTATTTACATTGCTGACACAAATTGTTCTTTGCATAAAATTTAAAGAAAAGCATTAAAATTTTGAGGTGATATGATCTTATCAGATTGTGTCTCTCTTAAACACATGGGGTGTTTCAGTCTTTGTAACTATGACCTCAACAGCTTGAAAAATACTCATTACTTTCAAAGAATAGGAAGTTACATGTCTATGTTAATTGCTGAGTTAATAATAAATGAATACTTGCTTTGTGCAGAAAAGTTAGCTTATAAAACTGAATTCTTGAATTTCTGAAATCCAATTGCATTGTTTGAGAAGCATCCTAGAATTAAATGGAGAACAACTTGAACAAGCAATTTAACAATAATGTTTAAAGTTGTAACAAACATTAGTTTAGCTCCTCGGTCTTTGCGGCTAGTCAACACGGCCCATTAAAAGTTTGCTGAAGGCCATTTTTATTTTTTTTTCTGCTTGAACCAGTTTAAGATCCTGTGTGAATTAGCCAAAACTGGCTCAACCCACTGGAAAGTTAATTTCACTCTTGAAACTACAGAATATGTATTTCACACTGCAGTTTATACTATTGCATTGTGTGATATGATGTATAACAAAAACCAGTGCTTTATTAACAAAGAAAAACCCAACGAAATTAGCTTGCTTGATTTCCCCAGGGCAAATGTATTAAAACACAAGTTCCCATATATTTGGGAATTGTCATAGTTGGAATCGTGCATCAGAGATGCTTGTCTTATACTGAAATTAAAATGATTCTTTTTGCAACTTGCATTTCCATGTCTTCTGCAATGGCACGCGTGTGCTGCACTGAGGCTGTGGCACGGGGAACTTGTGACTGTTGTGTCTGCAGGGAACTGAGCGACGTCGACTGCGACGGAGCGCTGACGCTCGCCGAGTTCTGTGCCGCTTTCCACCTCGTCGTGGCCAGGAAGAACGGATACCAGCTGCCGGAGACGCTGCCGGAGACGCTGCTCCCCGACTACCTGCAAGCAGGTGAGCCGGGCCTCTTCCCACAGCCGTCTCAGAAACACTATGTGTGCGCAGTGGAGATTTGTATTTCTAAGCTGCAGGCAGAGTAGAAGTCTAAACTGAGTAAGCAACTGCCTCTTCCCTTGCTTTTTTAAAATGTGAGGGTTTTAAATGTGATAACAAAGTGATTGCCGAAGAAGGAATGTGTAAAAGCACAAAATGATGATGCAAAATGTAGCGTTTACCTGCCTCCCAATGTGTATTTCTTTGCTCCAGTGCACTTCTGGTGACATTATGGCTAAAGTGGCATGTGGTTGCCTGTAGCAAAGATAATCTTGCATGGTGTATATGGCTTTTAACTCTTGTAATGATTTTCACATATGCATCTGTCTTTTGAAGATGTGTTGAAAATGGTTCTGATCTGCTTTGCAACTTTCTATGCTAATTTATTTAGCTGGATGCTATTACTAGTTCAGTCAAAGGTCGACTTTTTTATTTTGTAACTCATTTTCTGTAATCGACTGGCTTCTGCTATAAGTAATTTGTAGTAATGACAGGGGCTTGTACAATTTGCACTGAACAAGGATAAATTAATCCAAAATATAACACCTCAGTACCAATGTGAAGTGAAAGACAAGCCCTTTCATTTGTTCTCTTCAGTTATGTCTCTTGTAATTACATATGAACACTGAAAGACATTCTGTTCCATTTTAAAAATGTGCATGACTTTGTAGGGCAAAGAGCATTAATCACAGATGATAATTACAGTGCTAAGGGATAATATTTAAGACTTAATAAAATCTCCATTAAATTTGATGACATTGAATATATTAAGAGACAGGAGAAGAGCAAATCAAGCTGTAGTTAGGAAAATTAATATTCGTCCTGTATCAGATCACTGAAGTAATTTCTGTTGGAGTCAAGTTCTCTATAATCCACTGTCTTCATATCCAAGAGGAGAAGCTCCTGTAAAATGTACGCTACCAAATCATCCGGACTTTTAGCCACTCTAATTATACCCGGCAGTCATAATTACAACTACCCTTTTTCCCCCATGACCATGACTTTGTTCGCTAGTCTCCCTCCTGTTCTCGTTATAAATCAGACTGTAAGCTCCTCCATGTGAGTTCTTGTCTTCCTACATGGTCTTGTTGGTGTGTCTTCATATTACGCCTTTTGGTATAAAGTTGCAATGGAAATAAGTACTAAGAGTAAGAAGGAATCATAGTGTGCCCTCCTGGCCAAGAAGGCCAATGGGATCCTGGCCTGCATCAGGAGGAGTGTTGCCAGCAGGTCGAGGGAGGGGATCCTGCCCCTCTGCTCAGCTCTGGTGAGGCTGCATCTGGAGTATTGGGTGCAGTTCTGGGCTCCCCAGGACAAGAAGGACATTGAGCTTCTAGAGAGGGTCCAGCAGAGAGCGACAAAGATGACTAAGGGACTGGAGCATCTATCATCTGAGGAAAGACTAAGCGAGCTGGGGCCTGTCTAGCCTGGAGAAAAGAAGGCTGAGAGGAGATTTGATTAACATGTTCAAGTACCTGAAGAGTGATTGTAGGGAGGATGGGGCCAGGCTCTTCTCCATGGTGGACGGTGACAGGAAAAGGGGTGTAAGCTGAAACACAGGAAGTTTAATCTCCATATGAGGAAGAACTTCTTTCCTGTGAGGGTGACAGAGCCCTGGAACAGGCTGCCCAGAGAGGCTGTGGAGTCTCCTTGTCTGGAGATCTTCCAAACCCGCCTGGACACCACTTTGAGCTTGTCTATGTGAGAGAGTTTCAAGGGACTGCTTGCTGGGTCTGGCCACACTAGCTGCTCAACCACTATGTTAGTTTTAATGGTGTAAGGGTCTGAAAATATATCATGCTGAAAATATATCATTGTGATGCCTAGTCAAGATTCAGAAATCTGCCTTTTGAAAGACTTATAAAAAGTGGAACGTCTCAACAACTTGTAACAGAGTGATCCATAAAGAGACGAGTCCTGAATGAACCAACTTTTGAAAAGAAAGGATCAATAAGCAGATTTTTTTTTTATAAGAAATCTTAACCCTTATTTAACTTCTGTGAAATGTAGGTTTTGTTTGGCGGGTTAGGAGTATGATGATGATTACTGAAATCCGTTTTTCATTAGGTTGTTCTATTAAGTTCTGAATGAGGCAGACTGTTTTGTTCTGCAGTTTAACTCAAGTAAAATACCTGCTTCTGATAAAAGTGTTAAAGCTTCAAATAAAGTGCCTTGGAGCATCAGACAGAGCATTTCAGAATGAATTAATCTTGCCTTATCTAATCTTATGACCTACTCTATAACTGCGAATGAAGAGTCCAATTTTTATTCTGGCGGGGCTCTGTTGAGAATTTGATCCATCTTTTCCTCTGAAAGTTTTTCTTGAAACAAATTTTAAAAATCTGGAATACACTTTGTCCTTTACATAACCCACTGTATTTTAAATTATAACAGCTTTCCAATAGCTTAATTTGTTCAGATGAACCAGATGCTAACTAGAAACTAAATATTGGACATGAGAACTAGCTATTTTGCATTTCAGTGTGTTGATATGGAAGGAAAAAGGTAGCCCAGCTGTTAAGATAGATTTGTCTCGGAGAAACAAATCCCAGAGTGATATCAGCTGAAGGACATATCACATGGCATAGAAACATGGTTTACTTTCGAAGGTTAAAGATTGGATTCTTTTTCTTTTTTTTTTTCCTGCTCTTTGTCCTGTTTAATCAAAGAATACCAAAGATGGTGTGTGTTGCAGCAACTTGTGTATTTAGTGTGTTTGTTGCTTACCAACCTCTCCCAAACCATTTCTCCCAAATTTGATAATTACTTATCAATTATTTACAATTATTTATCAATTATTACAATTGTTTAGAAGTTATGTATGTAGTGACTTTAATGACTCTTGCTCCCAAATGCAAGATAGAAGGATTTTTTCATCCTTTCTGTTTCTTCTTTTCTTTCCCTCCCAGCTTCTTTGAAGCCTATTCATGACTGCGCGCTATTTGATTCCTATTCTGAGCCATTGCCAGGCAGTCAACAGCCTCGGGACTTTAATCGGCCAGAGGTAAGAATGTGTAAGTAGGGGAGTTGTGTTACCAAGCCCAGAGGAATGTAACCAGGTATGCGTAGCGGCAGAACGGTGGGGCTTTAGGAGGACTGTTAATCTCTAAGTTAACATGGAAGCCACCTCAGACACCTCTCTCAGCAATTCTGTCAGTGCATGGACATGGCTGACAGGTATTTTTCAGAAGATATTTCTGAGTAGCAGGGTTTACGCTAGTCGTCTTGGGACTCCAGCCTGGAATGTTGTTGGAGTCTATGCAGAGGAATAAGCCTTAACTGTTTGCATCCTGTCGTGTGGTGCTTGGTCTTCCTGCCTTGGCAACCAACAATGTGAGGAAAAGTCACTGCTGCAGTAGGGACAGTGTGATGCAAGGGCAGTGCTTTGGGTAAAATTATGGTGAATCTCAGTTGGTCAAAATTGTTAAGTTTCGGGTACAGACTTGGTTCTAGGCAGGCAGTCCTAGCTATCTAGCTGTTCCCTCCCTTTCAAGGCCTATTACTGCCATTTACAACACTCTATTTCTATACTTTTCACCAAAATTTTTGTTTGACAAGAAAAATATTTTGGCTCACCCTGGTTCTGTGTACTTCACATATTTGGAGACTGATACTGTCCCAGGTTTTGTGTGTTATGGGTACGCATAGTTCTGTGTGATTTGGACCCATTTTGATAACCATCTGTCTTTTAGTCTAAGAATTTAGTGTGTAAGATATCGGTACTAATTGTAAGCAGCCTGAAAGAATGTTTTGAGGGAAGAGCAGGGAATAAATTGTGGAGATATATTGTAAATAAAAACACAACAGGTATCAACCTTATAAAGAAAGACAAACCAAAGTAACTCACTTAAGGAGAGAAGTTATTAAGTTAAGCAGAAGTTTTAAAGATCTTGTAAACTGAATTCATTATGGCCGTTCAGTTGTGCCTGGATATTGCAACTCCGACTATATATGCTGTGGGATTTGAGGGTTTAGCCTTTAAGATGGTGAATGGCAGACTGACTACAAGAATGGGGCTACAGTTCAGAATTGTTAAGCCTTTGTAAAGTGGCATGGATTGCTGCTGAGATTGAAGGAGAAGGTGCTTCTGATACTACTTCCAAGTTAAAGAGGAAAGGAATGTCGCACCAGCTCAGCTAGATGCCAGCAAGGCTTTTCTCCAGTTATTTCATGCCTCTCTCTTATTCTGGAAATCTTCCAGGCTGGAATCCATCTCCTCTGTCCAGTTCAGCACTGGGTAGCATGACCAGGCAGATTCTCCTAAGCTGCTACACCTAACAAAAACCAGTGTTGTTTTCACTTTGGATAGCATTGCACTGTGCAGATAGATCGCCTTTTATATCTCCATGGTTTAGGGTGTCTCTGTTTTTGTTATAATACTGACTGTACAAATGCTTCCCTAGATACAGAAAGTAGTCTTTTGTTGTTGCGCACTGGTGAGGAAATTTGTTCTTTAGTAGCACAGCCTTTACGACTGTGAAATTAGAATATTTGTTTATAAGTTTCAGAAGGCTCAAAAATCTTGCTTTCATTGTCATCTCGTGTTTCTTAAAAATAAAATAGAATTTCAAAAACCTAACAAATAAACTGATAATCTTATTAAGCATCTGACTTTAAAGATCAGCTTACTTGTGTTCCTTGAATGTACATGCAAAGTAAAGACAAATCAAAAAGGAGAGGATGTGCTAAACAATTAAATTGTATATTTCTTTGCTTTATAGGTTTTTTTTAACTATTCAAACTGTTATCATTTGTAGTGAAGCATAGTAATAATAAAGTACTTGCAGAGGACATACAACACAAAACAAAAAAAAGGCATGAAATTCCCCAGTTTATGTTTAATTATCCGTTATTCCAGTTAAGCTTTCAAATCTCCCCTGCTTTATCTCTGCTTTCTCTAGCTTAAAACTTTCTCACCATAACTACCAATTTGCTCCTTTCTTCTCTGCCTGTGACCTAGGCACAGTAGGACAGTTACATAGGACAGTAAGATTGTTGTTGTGGTCTTGTTGTTGTGGGCCTTTGTCATCCAAGATTAACAGACTATAAAATATCTTCCCAAAATTTGGGAAAATTTCAGGAGACCATTTTTGTTGAGGTTGCTCAGCTATGGCCCTACAGTACAAGGGAGGCAGTTCTTGAAGATATTCGTAAAGAAAATAATGACAGGAGACAGGTCGCCTGAATAGTAGGCTTTGATAAATTAAAATACAAAACAAAACAACAACAAAAACCCCACAAATCTTGGTCAACAATACTTTCAAGAATAGCTAGAGAGGTGGGTTTTTTTCTTCTTCTTCCTTTTTTTTTTTTAAACCAAATGGTTATGTTTGTCTATATTTGCCAGCAGTATTTGTCCTCTACTCTGATTCTGGTCTTTACTATTGTTGTTGTTGTTGTTGTTGTTGTTATTGCTTTGGCAGCTTTCTCACTGCCAAAAGCTTAAAGATAAGACACAAGTTTTGGCATTATATTTATGGAATGGCTGGCTGGGGTTACGTAACTCCCTCAAAAAATGCCATATTCACAGGTCATTGGCATTTGCGAGTCCTTTCCTTCATTGATTCAAACATGCAGTGAATGAGGTTTGATGCTCTCTACTTTCCAGCTGATGAATCCAGAAGCGAAAGCTGTGTGGCGTCTCATCCATCTACTCATTATTGCTACACCAATGGTTGCTGGTTATTTTACTCTTGAAACATATATCCCTAACATCAAAACATTAATCTGAAATATATAATATACATATAATATATAATTCAGCACTCCTGAGACCTTTGACTTTGAATTGCTTGTGTGCATCTTCTTCCCAGTGTTTTTGTTCCTGTTTAACCAGTTTGGAACAGTCCGGGAAGATCCATTCAATGCAGAGCTATTGATTCTCTTTGATGTAGGAGTCTCTGTTGGTGAGCCAGTGGATGACATTTTTGTTTCTGTTTTTGTTTTCTTCTTTTTTCCTTCTAAGTGATAACTAGAGCATCAGGGATAACTAGGGAAGAGTTTCGTTCCAACATTTTGAGAACACTTAGGCTGTGTTTTTGCTATGTTACTTCTTCAACAGCATTACAGAATCCCATACACAGCTTTATAAAGTAGAACTCATAACCTCTTACTCTGAACATGGCCTTCTTGAGGTACTGACTTCAGATTTTTGTTTTTAAAAAACAGTCTACAAAATCTGTGCTTCTGAATCAATTTTTAAAGTCCAGTTGATTGTAGCCTCTTCCAGGTCCCTGAGGATTAAAAAACAAACAAACAAATAAAAACCCCAGCATCTCTTGTTTGTGTATCAAACCCCAGCATCTCTTTGCAACTCAGAGAAGCCTGAGTTAACTGTTATTTTTATTGTTCTGGCTATAGATTCTATCATTTTTTCTTACAGATAATGGTAGCAGAATTTCTTAATGTTTGCCTCTTGGTAATCTAAGTAGTACAAGTTACAAGGATAGCAAATGCCTGTAGTGCAAGTTACTGCTGAAATATAAAGAGAGCTTAGGAGTAAGTCTGAGGCCAAGTTTGCATGGACCTGCAAAAGATATGCCCATGAAACAGTTTTTCCATCTCTATGGCTACATATTGAAAGAGAAGAGCAGATGAAGGATCAGTTATCTCAGCCAAAACATTTTAAATCCAGAACTGTTGAACTTTGCAGTATATCTGAAGTGACTACTGTGATGGAGAGGAGTTTGTTACTCATGTGAAGAGACTATAGAATTTTCCCTAATGCAGCTGTTACACAGGCACAAAAAAGAAAGCATAAAATGACATTGCTCCACTTTGAAAAATATCTCCTTGCATATAATCCTTAGTGCCCTGTGATTCATGGTTGAAGTGAAGCTTTAACTGATTTCAGGTGTAGCTTGAAAAGCAGAGTAATAGTTGCCTTTTTGAAAGTCATTTTTGTTTCTTTTTCTCACAAAGCAAGTCTCGATGCAGGAAAGACTATCTCTATCATTTTTATTTCTGTTGGTCTGTATTATTTAATATTTGACTGTGGAAATATGTGTGTTTGTGTCTGCTGTGCCAACCAGCATAATAAATCAATCTTCTCTCCTTAAGAAGACATCAGCTGAAGAGGTACCTGATAATTCTGGCCTGATAAAAGATGCAAGCAAAGATGATAAACAAGGTATTCAAATATTTTTTTTTGTTGTTATTTTGTTAAGTGTGAAGTTTTTTCTGTTAATTAGTAATCCACATGTTTGCCAACAGAATCACTGGTATGTTTAATTTCTGAGCTGCCTATATGTCGGTATAGATCTGAAGAGATAACTCACTGATAGCAGCTGAGTTGAGGAAAAATATCTGAATGATATAAAATATACCTTCTTAAGTGTATCCAGTTGTCAGCCAGTTAACGTTGCACTTAAGAATTTATCTGTATATGTCTTATCTGATAAAGGCATATGGAAGCAAAAAAAATTCACTCAAGTGGTAATTGATAGTGGAGTGAATTATACTGCATTGAAATGTGCTACAGTACATTAAGAATGTCTTGATATAAAGATTATTAGTAAAGGATGTATCCCCTTGGTGAAAGGGGAATAAGCACAAGAATTGGGATTTCCTAAATTTAAGCCCAGCTCTGTCAGTGCAGTATGATATTTTCTGGAGCAACTTGCTTAGGCTTCAGCTGCCAAAATTGGTCAGTCTCTTGCATGCCCTCACTTTCTGGTTTATCATTTCAGGTAGGTCAGTGTAGCTCTGCCAGTGCTTGCCTCTTTCTGAAGGCTCTGTGTTTTTGAAACATGAGTCCTTGGTTTTAGACACCCCCAAATTCAGAAAAATTGGGATTATTTGGCAAGTTGAATGTACGCCTTTCTATTCTTGGCTTTTTTACTCTGAAAAATAGTTAACTTTCAAAGGTATTTGGGAGCTGAAGATATTTGGTTACTGTTGGTTTCTTTTGGGAGTATGTATGGTGTAAATGGTATTGCTTTAGGTATTTCTTTCTCAGAGTTGATTTTTACCTGCACATATTTAAAGTAACTTTCTCTTTTTTTGTTTGTTTCTTTCTTTGTTTGGTTTTTTACCAAGTTCTTAAAACAAGCATTGCTATCAAACCAATACCAAAGGAATTTCAGCACTTGACTGTGAAAACAGGTAAGAAGAAAAATAATCATGTTGACACTTCCATTAGAATTTCTATCAAATGTTTTATACTACAGTAAACTTAATGTAACCTGACTTTTCAAGATGATGTTTCTCTATTAATAATTTACTGCTGAAATGATCTTTTACCTTGTAATGACTACTACTTGCAAAATTACACTTAATTAGTACTTAAAGCTGTCAAAAGTTTTCTTGCTTTCTTTCTCTTATTTTTAGCAGATGTGGTGTTCTTCCATTGTGGAAAATGTATTAACATAGCATTTTATATGGAGGCTGATTTCTGTTTTTTTTTTTTAATTTTTTTTGTACTATAAATGAGATTTGGGAGTAAGAATATTGTGTCTTGATAAAAAGCTTTTCTCAAGTATAAAATAAATTATTTAGTGTTCCAGTAATTATTCTGAAATGATCTGTTTCTTTGTATAAACTGAGCTTTCATATTTTACCTTAAGGGAGATGAAGAGTAGATGGGCTTTTGGCCATATGGATCTTGTGGCACTGACACAAGCTTTTTATGCAGGGTTGTTTCTCTTGTGAAACCACCGCTGATTTTTTCTGTCTCCATCGTGAACATGCTCTCCTTGTTCCTAGCATACCAGAAAAGTATTTCTGGAATGGCATATCTAAAAGTTTCTTAGTTGCTCCAGAAACTTCCCATGTGTTCAATGCAATTATTAGAACTCCCTGTCCTTCCTCTTTCTTAATCTCTTTCCTAAAGTAGTGGCAAGAGTGTTTGCAAACTCTCCTTGGCCCCAGAGATTATCTAGAGTTGTTTTCCTTTTCTTTAATAAATGTCTTCAGTCATGAAGATATCCTTGATCAAGACACCTGACTCAAGTGTCTGCCCTAGCAGTTTTGTCTTACAGCTCAGCTTATTCAAGGCCACTCAGCAGCTGCTTGCCTCATTTCCCATTTTTTTTCCTGACTTCTTCCCAAACGCTCAGCAACTGCCAGGCTTCCTATCTACAGCTCCTGCTCTTGAGCGATTGCTGCTTCTCCTTCATGCATACATCTCTATAAAGGGAAGAGTTGATGACAGGATTCCAGTTCTCCTCCCCTGGCTCCAAAGGGCCTCCTTTGGAATGGAGCTGTGGTCTCAGTTCTACAATTCCATCTTTTGTATGCTTAGGAAAAGCCTGCTCCTTTAGCAATGTTGTGATGCTTGTATGCCAAGGAAGACGGTGGCAACTTTGCTCCATTGTGCTGACTGCTGTTACTTTAGGAACCTGGAAATTAAGGATTTGAGCCAGCACCTTCTTGGGTTGCATGGGAAGAGCTGTCTAGTGTGCTAGTTACGACACTGATTCTTGTGATTCTTTCAAAATTGAGGCTCATTCTGAAAGGACGTTGCAACCTTCACCTTCAGGATGCATATTCAGTTGGAATGAAGCAGGAGAAAATCTACATTTGTTTTGGTTATTGATTCAAGCTATTTATGTAAGTTTAAGAAAGGTGATACCGCTGTAGTTCATTAGAGGGAAGTTTTCTTTGCCGACAGGAGACCTAGCAATTGGAAGTCAGTAGAAACTGTGTATGTTCAAAAAAACACTTTTATGTCAGAAAATCTGGCCCCTCTGGCCTCTCTGAGGACTCTGGACTTTGGAAAGTTAGGTAGACTCCTGAAAGTTATTGTTGGTGTTAAATTTTTCAAGGAGTAAAGGGGAGCCAGTACTGTGAACGTTTAAATTATACAGAATTTCTGCCTAGGTCTTCAGTAAGAGGTAAGAGTTGAGTCAGTTGAGTCAGTTGAGTCTTCAGCTCTTAAAGCAGGCAAGCACCAGCTGAGTATTACCCATTAGGCTACAGACAGAAGTTACACAGTCTTCATCTTTAGGAGAGTTAGAATGAAGCAGTATTAATTGGAGGGGCGTCTCTGGGGCAGAGGTGTTAGGAGCAGTTAAACACCCAAGATAGAAATCCTTGTGTTCTCCTGTGATATGAATGACTGAATAAGAGTTCATCAGTGCAGATGAATTAGTCCAGACCAGGGTGTTCAGTTCATTTTGCCATACTCCTTCAGGAATTATATAAATTTTATATAATATATAAAAATTAATTTATGCAGCAGTTTTAATAATTTTTTTTTCAGTTTCATTCAAGTTTGATTTATAAATAGTAATAGGAATATAAAAACTCATGAACTTAGTAAATAGTTTTGTATCATTCTGACTGTATGGTGTATGCGTGCAAACCTTCATCATACACAGAAAATATACAGAAATTGAACATAGCAAAATTTCTGCACACTCTATGAAAACATTGCAACAGTAGTTATTTGTATGTTAAAATACTGAACTGTTTTATTGTACTTCATATCATGTATTTTATTTCATAAAAAGGTTTAAACTAGGGCTAAGTCTGGATATTGTGAAATTGCAGCCTTGAGTTTTCTGATTTTTCAATGGCTGAAAGAAAAAATCCTTGGAAGTAGAATTATATTGCTATAATTTTTTTTACTGGTCATTTCAGGATTCTCTCTTCCTTTTGTGTTTTGCTGTATACCTCAAGCAGATGTCCTCAGAGAGCTGCAACGTCATTTTTACCTGTAGTTTTCTAAGGGATTCTGAAAGAAGTATGAACAGAACAACTGTCTCTGTGGAAGAAGGAAAATTTGAAATTTCTTAAACATAGCTTAGCTTGGAGAGGATTATACTTCCTATTTCTAGATGGCATATATTTAATAGTTGTGCAGGTAATTTAATAATCAGCAGGTTCAGCATTGGAAAAATTGGGTCATATGGCTGTAGGGAAGCAATTTCTGAAGTTGTATTCTCTAGGAGTCTGACACAAAAAGAGGAGGATTATCACCATTGCATGTTTTAATAATAACTCCCACTCCTCTTTAGTGCTGGTGAGACTTCCGTATATAAAAATCTGAAATCACTGTGAGTCTATTTGTTGATGACAGCAATCCTCTAGAAAATGGTTTAAAAGTGTTTTTTCGTGTCGCTGCCTGGTATGTTTGGGTTTATTCCAACCAGTCTACCAGCTAGCTCTGTGCAGCCCTAAAAACAGCTTCTTTAATTAAGAAATAGTGTGTAGCTATTCATATGGTGCATGCTATCATTTTCTGTGCATCTGAAGCTTCCTATGCAGGGTCCATGCAGTGCAACAGTGCAAGCTATCAGAAAATCAGTATTTGCCAGTTACTACCACAGGCAGCTCTGGCCCTGCATTTTGAGGAACTCTGAAACAATCTCAGCTGGTGCTGTGCTCATGATAAATGTCTGGCCTGGAAGTAGGCATGTCTCTGAAGGAAGCAAGAAACACCGAGATATTTTTTATTCCCAGTCTACTTACTTCCCTTATAGTTTTGTGCCCCAACAAACAGAATAATGGGAAAAGTGCAAGAATTCACCTTTTATATATATTAGGATTGTTTATGCTGCTGTAATACCTTGAGGATATCTCTTTCAGTGAGTGGAAATATAAAGCGATCAAACAGATATATTTTATCAAGATCATTTTATGTTAGAAAAGAGAGTAACAGAAAAGGTATGAAAAGACTTTATAAACCAGAAAACAGCCCAAAGGAGGTAATTCAGCACTGTTGTTTTCCTATCACATAAAACCTAGATGAGGCATGGCATTCAGACTCATTCAGATTAAAAAAAAATAAAGGCAGATTTTTGCATGGATAGGCATTTTTTGATTAAGATAGCACGTAAAACTTACTGCCTTAAAATATCTTTCCTCCTCAAAGTGAAATTGGTCTCAATCAGGTGTACAAACACATTGCACGGGTGTAAGAATAGGCACATTTGTGATATTAGTTGAAATAGCTAGGAAGAACATAAATCTTCACGCTTTGGGATGCAGAGCAACTGCTAGGTATCTAGAAGAGAGATAAGGTGTGCTCTGGGAGAAACTTATGCTCTTTGTGTGTTCTTTAGTGGCAATGTTTTGGCATAGCCACATCCTGGGCTGCTGGTCAGAGTTAACAGATCTACTGTTGTTCCTGATTTCTCGTAACCAAATTAAAAGGTTAAGTTCTCTCTACATGTGAGCTTTTTAATTCTTAGGACCATAGAAACCAAGGAGGAGGAGAAGTGAAAATAATTAAATCCTCATTGCCTGTGTGGGAGTACACTTTCATGTCCACATTTGCAAAAATAATATCTGATCCTGCAACTAAAGACACTTACTTAAAATATCATGTTTTAACAGTTCCTTTTTTTTTTCTTTTCTTTTTTAGTTGCTCAGGAATCTGTTGCATTTAGAGCCAGGCCGAGATCCAGGTACCGCTTTCATTTCTCTTTCAGAAGACATATCCTTCTGCTGTTAAAGACGAGGTCTAAGAATCGGCGTTACAATTTTGTATCGGTAGTGCTGCACTGGGAGTACAGACCAGCTCAAAGACAGATTTATCCAGAGAGATCTGTAAGCTACAGACCCTTCTTTGGTACTGCCGGGGGTCCTGCATTCTCTGGGCATAAGGTGCTGGGACATCTGCTTATCTGCCCAGCCCCACCACCTTGCCCAGGTGGTGACCCCACAGCAGACACCCCCCTTTGCAGGGGGCTCTTTGGACACTTTCTGCTGCTGAAACCTGCGCGGGGGTCGCGTGTGGAGGGAGTCACTGCCCAGTCCCAGGGAATCGGCCGTGACAGCTCAGCTCAGAGCTGCCCGTGAGCTGCGTGTGCTTTCCTTGTGCCGGGCGCCCCGGCCTCTGGCAGGCTGCGGGGTGACAGAAGAACTTGGGGGATTTGCACAGCTGCTCACTAAAAATGACACCTGATGAATCTGAACACTTGAAGGACAGAAAAGTGTGCCAGAAAATACTGTTTACCAGTGGATTAACTAATGGCTTTGGCTGCTCACCATGCCAATATATCATGCATTGCACCTTAAAGCTTTTCCTTTGATCTAGTCTGATGACTTAATTTCATTTTCTTAGGTAATGAAAGTATAATCGCATGAAAGTATAATCACGAGCTCCTTCCTCCTAAGCTAGTCAAAGTCTGCTAATATGAGAAGATGGCTATAGCATGATGAATTAAGTTGGAAATCCTCTATTCTTAGGACCTATATTCAGGAAGACTGAACACTATGTGTGCAATTTTTATGTTGCTATCCAAAGCTTTTACTTTTTATAACCTTTTCAAATCTTTTGCTGTGTTACTGAGTCATAAAATGACTAATAAATACTTAAATGAGTTTGAAAAAAAAATGCTGTAATGAAGTACTTTGATGCAGCAGTCAGCCCAGACCTTCTGGTTAGCTGGTATCTATGTAAGACGTGGAGCCACAAGGTTATAGAGTCCACCAAGCCTCCTATCTTGGAGGTTGAGGCTAAGTATTTATATAATAGGTGCTATCTATCTCACCCTTCCTTTTTTTTTTCTTAAAAAAAAAAAAAGCTGTTAACTTGTATAATTTTAATACCAGCAATATTCTACACACTATGGAAAGCAAAGCTACAAAATTAGGGTTTGGATCAGATCTGAAATTATAGGGTTATGGAATTCAAAATCCTACCAAGCCAAAAATTCAACAGCAGCAGAGGTCATTGTGTTACATTTAAATTGTGAGGCAGCTGCAGCTTCACTCCTGTATTTATTAAAGTTTACATCAGGAACATAGGTTGAGCTTTGCCACATGTCTTCCCGCTGAGGAGCTGTGTTCTAACACCAGCCTGCTTGGCAAAACGCTGAGCCGTTTCCCATTAGTGGGAGCTATTTCTGTTCTACTTGAGTGTGCTTTTGGTCTTGCCTGTCATGCATAATGTATTACAGTGAGTGTAACATCTCACATTGTCAGTGCTCATTTCAAACAAAGCTCTTGGACTTGCAGGAAAAAATGGTAACTACAACAGCTGAAAAATATTGGGCACTTCAGCAAAATCAAAATTCTTAGCAAGTACGGTGCACTGGGATTAATGTGATCTGAATTATCTGGAACAGTCTGTAACAGTGCAGAACAGACATGTATTTGCCTAGTATTGGTCACTTTGCATCCATTCATTTTTTCTTGACTTTGTGGAATCTGACTGCTTTCTATGAAAAATTTACTCAGATAGTTACAGTATGATAAATTATAAAATGTGTACTTGCTGGAGGAAGATCAAAGTTATAAAGGCATAAAAATTGATCTCACAGATAGGAAAGACAAGCAACAGAAATAGGGAATGTTATATATATATTTTTGCTCATTTGAGGTTTACTCAAAATTGAATAAGTAATTATTAATGAATTAATTACCATGAATGAACAATTACCAGCTGGTTCACTGGCAGCACAGATCACATGAGAAGAGCCTGAAACTGTAATGTAAAGGCCTTTCAAAAAAAAAGATGGAGAAAAAAAAACAACAACAAAAAAGGGGAAACTATTAGCCCTGAAAGTATAGCCCTTTCATTTCCTTAGGGACAAAGTTCCTCCATTTGTTGCCAGATAGGTCTGACTTGTAATAAAGGGGAACTTTTAGTCAGTGGGGCAAGGAATTTCTACCAAATGCTTGAGTTCTGGTCAGTATATTTTTGGACATTATTCACTATATTTATCTAAAATTCATTTCTGGAATAAGAAGATTTTTTTTGTTGTTGTTCCTGTTCCTCCTTAGGTCTTATTCCAGCACATCAATAGAAGATGCCATGAAAAAGGGAGAAGAGCCCCCTACTCCACCTCCAAGGCCACAGAAATCCCATTCCAGAGCTTCCTCTTTGGATCTGAACAAAATATTTCAACAAAATGCACAAGGTAAAACTTATTTTCCTAGATCAGTTAGATCAATGTTTAGATCTTTTCTTCCCATTCTTTTGAGACCAGTTAAGTAGCTGCATATTTGGCAACTCAATTTGTTTGCCCAAATGCTTGACAGTGTGTGCATATGTTTGTCTTTACTATAGACAGGACTAAGCTGTATAAGTGAAGAAGTTGCTGTTATTGTGTTACATCTGTATGGAAGGGGAAAAAAATCTGTTGCTCTAAGAAAGGTGATAGGAAGTTAAAATAGGGTAGTGTTTCATCAGTTTGTAACTAGTCTGTCGATATAGACAATTCTACCCAATAGCTACAATGCATTTGATATTTCTTACTATTTATTGTTTTTAAGTTCAGAGTCAAAAAAAAACGCTCTAATGTTTAAACTGGGCCAAGTGAAATTTGTAGCATACAAACATTTTTCATGTTAAGTCTTCCAGATGTGCAGGAGCAATTGAAACAAGAATGAAAAGAAAGGATATTTTCTTTAGACATGTGTTCTTTAGACACACTGAGGGGAGAGAAAGGATATGTAGGTAATAGCTGGATGGAAATGAAAGGAAGGCGCTTCAGTGCAGGGTATTGGAGCGTTCCTCCTGCATTGCGCAGCGAGCCATGGAAAGAGGAGTTGTTTGCTCAGTGTTTGCAGTCACCCAGCAGGGACAGAAGTGCGTTGTGCTTTGGTGGTGCCCTTGAAGCAGGCCAGAGCTTTACACAGAGCACACACCCAACCGTCTAATTCTAGGGCTAGGTTAAACATGGGCATGTTTATGCTTCACAAGAAGGCCAAGGTTTAACTGTGTCAAGGAATGTTTTAACTGGGCTCTCTGATGTGATTATTGGAATAGAAAAGAAAGCATTTCAGCTCTTCCTATATGGAACGCTTTTCTGTGTAAACACCAGCCAGAATTCAGGAGTCCCGTTATGTGTGCTGAACCCTGAAACCCAACAGAAATAAAAATTTTCCCTCACACAGAATAGCGATTCCTGATCTTTGACTGTAGTTCCTGCTTAGGAATCCAGTGCCACCCCTTTTGGTTTCAGTATACCTTTAAAAAACATCCACATGCATATTTTCTAAAGCAGCAAATCCTCCAGAATCCTGATAAAAAGTGTAACTGGAAGAAAGTAAAATTGGATTAAGGTTTTTTTCTCGGAACACAGGAGAATGTAAATTGTCAAAGAACCAGAAGGTAGCATCAGAAGGAATGGTTACAGATTCACAATCTAGATGGCATGGTGGCAACGTACTGTTTAAATTTCTTGGATATTAGGGAAATATAACCTGACATAAATATCCATCATGATGTGTTTCTAACAACAGTTCAGTTTATTGCTTTCTGTCTTAAAGTATTCTTGACTCTATTTTTGTTTTGTGCTTTCTCACTTCTCTCTTAGCATATTCAGAAATAGTTTAATTGTTGTATCCCAGCCTCAAAAGCTAGTGCCTAAAATGAGCCATCCCTTCTACCAGCACTGTATTGACAGGTTTCAGTACAGGAAACCAAGTTGCAGTATCAGCCGTTATAAGAGGTTTCAGGCCGTATCCCATGTGATTGAAATAAACACATTTCCGTACATTAGCTTTTGTCCTGCTAATTCTTGTTCAAAATAATAAAGTTTGTGATTTGAGTGAAAATGTGTTCCCATGCTTGCAAAGGAGCTCAGTTGTGTCAAGATTTGTTTTGAGTTACCGACTGATCATGTTAATCTATAGATACCACTTCTTCACTTGTAAAGTCATCAATGGTTTGGGTCTTTTTTTGTTGTTGTTTCTTATTTTGAATTTAAAGGGCAGGAAAATAAATACTTCATTTATTGTATATGTTATATTATGTCCTCTTTGCCACCTATCTTCTAGTCTTTGCCTGGCGAGTAAATGTGGAGAATATTTGTGCTTGTTTCCTAGATTGTCTGGTAATGCACCAGCTATTTAAACCCAAATTGCTGATTTGGGACAAAACTGCACTTGAGGAAGATGCTTCATTCATGCTTCACAGGGAATATGCACTTCTCTGGGGTTCTGTATTACTGTACTGTGCTGTATTACCCAGAAAAAAACACAAAAATACAAGAGAACTTACTGAAAGGCCCCACTTCTGAAATGAGCTGTAGAAACACTAAAATCCAAATCTGTGCCCTAGATATTTTTAAAATGTAATGAAAGAATTAACTTTTCCAAATCTACGATCATTATTAAACTACTCTTAGACATTTTATAATATACATAATTATGTTATTGATCTCTCTATATGTGTAGATATATGAAAAATAAGTATAAAGCCTTGATTCAAGAAGACACTTGAATTTGGGAAGACATTGTGGATGTGGTGATCTGTAGGGAGGTATTCAATTATATATTGAGCTGTGTTCCTCAAGGGTAGCCCGGGAAGAGTTTCTCAAGTGCCATGATGTGGCTGAGAAAGCTTGTGTGGTAGGGTGACCACGTTCAACCCTGAACAGAATCCAAGAAATGGAATAGCGGTGTTAATGAATAGCAGCATCAGTGAAGTGCTGTGCCTGTTTTTGTTCTCCTGAAACTGCTTGTAGGTGCCCATGCTTTTGGTGTAGTTACGAAGGCTGCGTGTTTTCTCAGGCATTGCACAGGCAAGTTGCTGCAGTGGAAATTTCACTGGCTTCGTGCAAAGTGTTTTCAAAACTCCCCTAGGGCTAGAAGAGTTTTTACTGTAATGTCAGTGTTTAAGAATGCTAGTGAATTCAACTGGATAAAAATCACTGCATACCCGTTCATCCTATGTAGCCTTTGGGTTACCATCTGACAAAGATTTAGTACAGCTAGAATCTGTATGTATTTCTTTTTAGTGTATATATAATCTCTGGCATTCGGCCTATGTGCATATTAAAAAATACTTGGCTGAGTTTTATGCATTCCTGGAAAGACAACAGCAGGTTTGAAGTGAAAATAAAAATGTACTTTAAATATACACATGAACTGATTTATACCTATTCTGTAGCCCACTGTCTAATTAGACACAAACTAAGAGCTTTGCAAAGTTGAGGGGACCCCAAGTTGCGCACTGGTCACAGCCACCACATCCTCCTCATCTGTCCTTTATAGCTGCAATAAACCGGGCTCCATCTTGGGGTGACTCTGGGACTGGGCTGAGTCTCAGCCTTCTGAGCTGGCCCGAGAGGGAGAGGTAAGTCCCATGGGTGGCCCCACTAACCTGGGACTGGAAAGGTGTGGGATGTGGGTCCTGCCCAGAGAGGTGGATGGGCAAGAGTTGGCAGAGCAACTCTTACTTGTGCCATTGTGGAAGTGTGGGAATGTCACATATTCTTTTCTCTGGGCATGGATAAATGTAAGTGGGAGCATGTTTACTGAGAGAAATACAGCCATGTCAGGGATAGAGACTTTTCTGAACACTTCTCCAAGCTTTAAGCATTAAAGAAAGAAAAAAAAAAAAGGCAATCACTGTCTTCTGTCATTTTGTTCTTGTGAACATTTTCTGTTCATGAAAACTACTGAAGTATTTATTTCTGAGTGATGTTCTGGGCAATTATCTGTTTATAGTCACTGACAACAGTCCAGGTCTTGTTAGACTGATACATATGCTTCTGAAATATAATTAAATAGAGAGTAGAATACATTTTCTTTCCCACTTAATTTCATTTCTGAATTGCACGATTTCTTTTGATTTACAGTTCTGTGGTACAAAAGATGCTTGTTTTGAATCGAGAATTTGCTTTGATGAAACAACGTAGCTGTCATGAACAGCGTTGTTCCATGATGCTATGGAAGCAGATTGAATGTCTCTGTATAATTCATCAAAGCAGCCACATAACTATTTACAAATGATTTTTTGACTGAAAGTTTAAAGTGATCATTTGCTTTTGAAATTCGTGTCTTGATGAGGCTATCCTGCAGTAGAGGATACATGAAAGACGGGCACCATTTCATACACGAGCATGTATGCAAATACCCAATGTAACTTGGATTAATTCCTCTGGGGATGTTGTTTCAGCCAAGTTACAAACCAGTAACTTGAGGCTGATATTTTTTTTTCTCTCTTTCAAAATGTGAGGTATTAAGTACCATCTTTACTTGTAAGGGGCGACTAGCATTTTATCAGAAGTGTAGTGTTTTCTGTTATGGATGATGATTTTCTAATTACAGTCAGCCCTGCAGCCTCTACTTATCTCAGTGGTGCTAGTTAGAGCTGCCAAGCAAGAAAGTGTCTCCTCTGCTTTCTCTGTTCACAAAAAAAGAAGCAAGGGAGCAGATATTCTGCATTCTCCACATTCTCCTAAATGGTCTAGATGTATCACCCTGTCATTTCTGTACTACCACGTATATACATTTCCTATGTAACTTTGATTGGTGTTTTGTCATAAGCTTAAAATTGTATTTTTATCATAAGACCCAGTCAGTCGATGCTTCTTCCTGCACCCTTCCATTTTCATTAGTGCTAGAGGAAGATACTGAACATCGCGTTTCATCCTCCTTTATTATCTTTGAAGCTCACAACTCTTGGATTCTTTTTGATATTTCATTAAACTGTAAAATTAGCACAACCTTTCTGTGAACTTACAAGGTTGGTGGGCTCTATTTGCTAAGTCTGGAGATTTGTGAATAGTGAAAGCATATTGAGATGTATTTGATTTGTTATGTTTGTCCAAATGCAAACAAATTTTATGCATTTCCAACCCTTATTTGTATTTTGTAGGAAATAGGGAATACGGGCATGCTATGTGCAGGTCTTAGTGACTAAGTCTTTTTTTTTAAGTATTGGTTTTGAGCAGTGAATTGTGTTGTTTGCTTTGCCATAAATAGAGATTTCCCAATTAACTTTTTGATTCAATGTTGAAGTCACAGCAGGATCTGGAAGAGTAATGTCCTTCTTTATGCCGGGTTTAATTGTTTAATTAAATTAATTATGATTTAATTTTGCATGGCCACTTCCTCTCATTTCCTGTTGGGTCTTCCATTTGGTAAAATCCAACCGCTTTCTTGGATAGCAGGGCTGCATTTTGTC